AAGAAGAAGTGAAAACGAATTGTGCGATATTTTATTCATTACTACATTGTTAATGTTTTTTTAGTTAAAATAATGTGTCTAATTGTCAATTGAGTACAATTATTATTTTAATCCCGGTTAAATACTCGACTTTAACCAATTTATCTTCCCGCGAAAACTAGTCGCAGGACTGTATGAGCCCCGTCCCGTGGAGACGGGAACTGGGAAAAATCCCAGAAGTTTCATTTCTGCGATTCGAACTTGGGACAAATCCCATGAAAACGTCTAGTGGGAACAAGGCCTTATGCGCCTTGTCCTCCAAGCCCCTCATTTATTCACCTTTAAAATTCCATGAAATTTGAATTTCAGGTATCGTGACCATGATCGGGACCCTGTACTACCTGGGCGCGACTTTCGGTCTGTGGTGGTTGACCTGTCACTACCTGATGCCGTTCGTGTTCCTCAACGGGTGGCTGGTGGTGGTGGCCTACCTGAACCACACGCACCCGGCCCTCCCGCGCTACGCCTCCCAGGAGTGGGACTGGCTCCGCGGCGCCCTCTCCACCGTCGACCGCGACTACTGGGTCTTCAACCACCTCCTCCACCACATCACCGACACACACGTCATGCACCACCTCCTCCCCACCATCCCCCACTACCACGCCGTCGAGGCTTCCGAGGCCATCAAACCTATTCTGGGTAAGCTAAATTCACATGCTGAGATACAATGGAGACGTTGCACGCAAATTTTTTATTGCTTCACCTGAAAGTGCTTGAAGAGCTGATTTCCCAGTATTTTTTATAATTTTTTTCTGATATGGGAAACAGTATAAAAATATATTTAAAAGTGAGAAAATGCACCGCCCAGTGACGTCAATTTTTTATTGCTTCACCTGAAAGTGCTTGAAGAGCTGATTTCCCAGTATTTTTTATAATTTTTTTCTGATAGGGGAAACGGTATAAAAATATATTCAAAAGTGAGAAAATGCACCGCCCAGTGACGTCATCTAGCGGCATTTCCCATTTAAACGCATGTATTTTAATAGATTAGGTCATTTAGTCATATCTTCTCCAATAATTGTTCAATTCATGAACCAAGGATATCCTCGTGTTCAGTTCACTCAGTAGTTTCCACTCAAACACGAAATTCATCAAATTTCAGACACCTGCAACTTCTCTATTTTCACCCTCCACGCATGCACTAGGGATAGCGATTTTCAATCGATTTTTTGCGTGATTAAAAC